TTCCCATCAGGCCCAGAATTTCTGATTGCCCAAGGGCCAGAAAGAACAAAACTAGAGAATGAAAGACTAAGATGGAAATAAACTCACGGCCCTGAAGAGCAGAAGTACTGCTGTACTGCCAAAGATAGAAAAGGACAAAAAGAGCGTCTTCATCTGTTGTGTTTTTGAAGAAATAAGTGATAGAAAATTCCTTCCGTATGAGTGCTGGGAATTGAGTGCGACATGCCTAAAATCCCCCAACTCTCTACATGAACGATACAGAAAATATGTATTTATAGTGTCACACCGAAGCTGTGTTTCTCAACCTTTTTGACTGCAAGGCCATCCATTATTCAAGACATTTAAAGACATTCATCATTCAAAGCCATGTAGCCTCAAATATTTTTGGTAATGCTGCTGTAATGATAAATCTGCCTATTTACAGAAACGAGGAGTGGCAGTATAATAAAACACCTAAGTAAATTCATTTAATAAAAGTAAATTTAAATAATTACATCCTGTGTTTACAGAAGTTTTAAGAACCAAATGTTCTTCAGAGTTCTTTATGGCCTATGAATTGACATTTTCCAATGGCTAGTGAGGACGGGATGAGACATCTTTATGTTTAGCTATTTTAGCTTATTTTAAGGATGTTTTAAACCATCTTGCGCCCCCTTGGAAGTGTTCTGAGGGAGTGGCTCCTGACTTCTGGCCCCCTAGCTGAGAACCACTGAACTAGAGGATGATGACAAAATTTTAAGATCACAGAACAGAACATTTCTTATACCTCCACCGCCTCCTGCTGGCTACAGATGATAAAGCAGCTAAAATACTTTTTTTTTTTTTTGCACAAGTTGTGGCAGTCTGGCAATTATGGTTGGACCAGTGTGGATTCAGGCGCACCCAACTGGCACAGTGTACAATTTTGTATGAAGTGAAACGACTGACATCACAATGCCATCCTAATTTTTTAACCTCTTCACTTCAAACTCTCTGTTCCATTCTAGTGTGTAACCTCCACTTTTCTGGATCTAATTCCAGATCGATAAAATCAAGTCTCATTCTATATTTTTTCCCCTTCAATATCCTGTTTCACTCAAAAATCACATTACAAATGTAAAATAGGTTGGGACTGTCAATGCAAATGGATTTGTTATTGTTTTTATATGGCTGCCCTTGTGGAAAAAAGATGTGCTAAATCGTTTTGAAAGTGAACTTGTTTTTTTTTTTTATTGTACTTGCAGACAATATGTGACCCTGGATATATGTCTTAAGTGTCAATTTTTCGAAATTGAAATGTATACATCATCTGAAAATATACCCCAGCGACTTAAGACTGCTTTTGTGCTCCAGGGTCACATATAATATTAATGAAATAAAAGGCCACTTAAGTGTACTTAGGGAAAGTACATTTTTATGACTGTGTCTTAACACACTTAAGTGCACTTTAAAAAAGTGCTGTAATACTTTAAAGTATATTTTAAATAATTGTATGAATAATCATAAGTCATGTTTCAAAGAAGTACACTTATTTTGATGAGTTGACTAACATACTAAAACACATGTAAAGTACTTGATTATAGTTTTAACTGTAGTGTGTTATTTGAATGAATGAATGAATGAATGATGCATTTATATAGCGCTTTATTGTGTATTGTTGTACACCCAAAGCGCTTTACAATCATATGGGGGGTCTCTCCTCAACCACCACCAGTGTGCAGCATCCACTTGGATGATGCGACGGCAGCCACAGGACAACGGCGCCAGTGCGCTCACCACACACCAGCTACAGGTGGAGAGGAGAGAGAGTCATAGAGCCAATCAAGT